AGATGAGCACGGATGTTAGCTCAGGGCCAGTCTTCCTCAGCAAAAAGAGGAGGATTGGCAGTAGTTAGCTCAGGGCTAATCTTCCTCAAAAAAAAAAACCAAAACACAAAATATCAAAATCTAGTCAATCAAGCTATAGAACACTTCAACACCACAGAACTCCCCTCAGTAATCCTTCCAGTTACTACCTACTACCAAGGATAACCATTATCCTGACTTTTAACTCCATAGATTAGTTTTGCCAAATTGTAAACCTTACAGAAATGAAATTATATAGTATATAGTCTTTTGTGTCAGATTTATTTTACTTGATAGCACGTCTGTGAGATTCATCTGTATTTTTCTTTTGCAATTGCAGCTCATTTATTGTCATTGCTGTATAGCTGTGAATATGGTTCATGATTTTGCCCCGGGGGAGACATTTAGTAATGTCTGGAGACAGTTTACGTTCTCACGACTGAGGGGGGAAGTACTGGTATCCAGTGGCCCAGGCCAGGGATACTGATCAGCATTCTACAGTGCGCAACAAAGAATTCTCTCGCCCGCAATGTCAAAAGGGTCGAGGTATCTCACCACGCATCAGGATCTCCATTCCTGTGTGGATGGGGACACGGAGGGTTTACAACAGCAAAAACGGAAAACAGCAGAAAACGTTCACAAATTGTGGCTTGTCTGAATGAGGACATACTATGTAGTTATGAGACTTTACGTTTACAAAGAGTTTGTAATAAGATCTTAACAATTTTAATGGAACAGAAACTGGATACAAAATTGTGTACACAAAACATAACGGGGAAGCACCTCCGTCGTGGTGTACGAGAACAACACAGCATCCAGTGTGGTGTAGACACTGACTGCACCTGTGTGAAATGCTGTCCAAGAAAGAAAGAGCCTGGAAGGAAAAACGTGGGAATGTTGTAGTGACTGTTGGGCATGAGGGGAGACGAGGGCTACATTTTGTAGTTCTTGTGTCCACTCCTTTATTTCCATTATTGTATTTTCCATTACAATAATGCAGAGCGATAGGAAAATCAAATAAAGAATTACAAAGCAGTTTCTCACAACCTCTCCTGGGCTCTGCCGTGTCTGTGGGAGAGTCCGTCCCGTCCACAGGGCATCGAGGCTCGCCAGCACCTTCTCGCCCTGGCGATCCTTCCCGGGTGCGCCACCATGCTTCCTGGGCCTGGACAGTCTCCATGCTCTCTCATGCCTCCGGGCCTTTGCATGTGCTGTTGGCTCAGCCTGCAGGGCCTGCCCTCCTCCATCTGTCTGGTGAAGCCCAGTCGTTCTTCAAACTGGTGTTGATGTGACGGCTCCCGCAGCCTTTCCTTGGTTTCCACCTCCGTTGACCAGTCCTTTCTCTCCAACAGGTGCAGCTTTTTAATATTGCACTTGACACCATAATTGAATGTTATTTCCCACAGTAATCTGTGAGCCACTCGACTGGAAGATTTATGTCCTAATATCCCAGGACCTAGCTCAGTGCTTTTGGAAGTAAACCTAGGGGTTGTCTGTGAAAAGTCTGAAGAATTTGCGTTGGCCCTGGTCCCAAGCAAGAAGGTCCTGAAATAGAAGAACTAGAACATGACCAGAATTTACCGAATGGAACCCAAAGCGTCCGTATTGTACTCTTTCTGAAGAATGATTATGACTGGCATCTCTGGCTTCTACACAGTGCTTGGCACAGAGTATGTGGATACCAACTGGTGGACTGCAATTTAGCCCCGGCACTAACCTCCCAGAGACAGTGCAGACCCCGCTAGTTAAAGGGCATAGTCCACAACAAGACTGCCCTCATTTCAGACCAACTGCCTACAAACCTGGGGGTTCTCAGAGCCCCCTCAGGTTTGATAATTCTCTACAATGAGTCACGAAACTCAGGTAAGTGCTATACTTACAATCACAGTTTTATTATAAAGGATACAAATCAGGACTGGCCAAATAAAGAGACACATAGGGCGAGATCTGGGAGGGTCCCAAATATACAGCTTCAGTGTCCTCTCTCTGTGGTTCAGGCACATCCCTCTCCTAGCACATCAACGTGGTCACCAACCAGGAAGCTCCACTGTTTTCACTGGCGTTTCGTTAAGTAGGCATGAGGGATTAAATCGTGGCACGCCATTGAACCCAGTCCCCAGCCGCTCTCCCCTCCCTGGGGGTCAGGCTGGCTCACAGTCCCGCCTCTCCAACTGCATGGTTGATCTTCCTGGGGACCATTTCCTATCCTGAAGCTATCAAGGGGCCCTGCAAGAGTCACCTCATTAGCATAAACTCAGGTGTGATCCAAGAAGCTCTTGAATAAGACACTTGCATCATTTGGGAAATTCCAAGGGTTTTAGGAGCTTCCCGCCGGGAACCAGGCACAAATTCTTTATTATACAACACATGGTAGATGCTCCATGAATATTTGCTAAGCAGAAAGATACACTCAAAATACCAGAAATTGGCAGGGGAGGGGAAGGCATTCAGGCTCTTACCGTCTTCTGCCTCACAAGTGTGTACACCTGTTGTGGAGATGGACCCCTCAGGCTACGAGAAACCAAAACCCTTAAACATTCCAATCCGAGGACGAACTCACTGTGCTCCAGCTCATATTACCAAGCATCCTGATGATAATCTGGCTTCCCATGTGACTTGTTTACAGCAAGAGAATGCTAGCCAGGCTGACACGAGCATGCACTTCTGCCCGAGTCGATTTCTCGTTGTAAGTTAATACAGTGACATTCTGGCTGACACAGATCAGTCTCTGAGCTCTTTGTGCCTTCCACCATTAAGTGTGGTTTCTGAGCCTGCAAGCCAGACGCTGCCCAGCACCCAGCCATGGACCTGGGCAAGATCTTCCAGGCCTCCAGGAGCCCGTGGGAGTTCTCCAGCCGGCTCTCTGCCTCTACATCTCAGGGTGTGGGTCTCAGGGCATTCACAACATTCCTGCAACAGAAGAATTTCGGAACACCCCAAACTGGATCTGGGTGACTTGAATAGAATCTCAAGCAGGCACGTCTGAGATGTGGTTGTAACTGAAGAAGCTTAAGCCTAATTAATTTTATCCCATTTGATTTAAAGAGCACGTGAAAGAAGAGGATCTCAGGACAACTATAAACCAGGCCCCAAGAGCACAAATTTCATAGTGTTTATCTGGTCCTGGCCAGAGGCTGGAGACACTGTCTTTGGTGTGTGTAAGCCTTGCACTGACTGGAGAGATTTACTCTTTTGGAGGAGATAGAGAATTCACTCTAAAACCTGAATGAGGAAGATTGCCTTTAGCTGCAATTCAGTTTAGTGCTCAACAGGTAAATTTCTGCTTAATAATTAGACCTCTGAATCACCTTTACTCCTCTCCATTGCAAATTAAGAAATGACATTCTAGCTTATACGTCTACTTTTTATGAGTTTGGTTACTATGAGTTGGTCCCACAAATCTGATCCATTGATATAATTGCGTTTCTAGCTGAGGTTCAGACTACAGAACATAGTGACCCCCTCCAACATATTGTCAGCCTGTGACTAGACAGTTGGCTCCTTTCTAGATGAACATATTTACCTCACTGTATCCTTCAATCCACAACACACCCGATTCAGGAACCTGTTCTACAGTATCCCTGAATGATGGTCTCTTTGGATGCTCCCAGTGGTCAGGAGCTCATAGTCGTAACCCTTCAAAGCAGTCTGCACTCTTGGAGGTCTCAGTTGTTAGAATATTCTTTCTTAAATTGAAATTAAACTCATCACATCATAACTTCTACCTACTGGTTCTTTCACAAAATATAACACACGTTTCTGTGCGCCTCAGCTGCCTCTCCTCAGTTCCTCCAAAGGAACTTGAACAGGATAGAGTCCAGCCGTCTCTCTCCCTGTTCTTCTCCTCCTGGCTTTCTAGCGTCTGTCTTGAAAACATGATCCCCTCAGAATCTGGTCAGTCCACAAGCACTATTGGTTTTGAGACATAAGATATTAATGCGGCAAAAGTTTGTTATTTCTTTTAGCAGCCGCACCTCACTGTTGGCTCATAGGCTTCAGACAAATTGCCTTCCTCTCAATGTATTTTCCCTTCCTTTTGGATTTGAAGCTGTGGAAATGAGATCCACATCGGCAGGGTTGTGGGTTTACGATGGGGACCTCATCTCCTGCGTTGGTGAATGCTGTTTCTGTCTAATGTGAGGGAGAGGGTCCTCAGCTCAGGATCAAGATACAGAGTCATTTCAAGAGTTCAGACCTAAGCAGTGAATGAGTTTATTTTTCTTAGAAAGAAAAAAAAAAAAAAAGGATTCATCTTTGTCGAGGGGATGAGCCATCTCTGAGATCGGGGAGGGTGTCTGGCTCATCTTTGTCCAGAGCACCCGGCAGGTGGAGGGCCCTGAGCACGGGCTGGATGAATCCAGCCAACTAGACACCACTTCCAGTTGAGAGAGCAAGGGAGCGGGAGGGAGAAGAAAAGCTCTTTTGCTGTTTTTCCTTCCTTCTGGCTCTAGAACATAAATACTGTGTATATGATAAAACAGTTTAACCAAAGGACGCAGGGACTTGGTTTCTCTGCGGATCCCTGACACATCCTGGGAGAGTCCTCTGTCACCGGCAATCCTCTCCCTCCCACGAGCCCGAGCCTCCTCAAGCACTCATTTGCCTATTTGCTGCTGACTTCACCTAAAAAAAACTTCCTATCGCTCTCGCTCTTCCACCCTGTCCCTCAGCCCCTCGACGCCGTTATTCCCTCCACTCGCCGCCCCGCCCTGGCCTCCCTGCACCCCGGCCCGCAAACGCGCGCGGGCTTGGAGTTTAGGGTTCGATGCTATCGTTGCCCACGGGTCGCACGACAGACATTGGCAGGGACGACCCGAGAGGCCATGTGCTCGTGCTCCTTAGGAAGTGGGAGAAATCTCTGCGGCTCGGTTTTGTTCCAGTGGCCTGTTCAGTGAGGGATTCCCGTTTCCCCAAAGGCTGCCCCTCATTAGCATGAACGGGGGTGGGGGTGTGGAGAAGGTGGGCGGGGGGGGGGGGGGAGAAAGAGCAAAAGCCCAGGCTCAGGGCTGGAGCCTGCGAACCGTGTCGACGAAGATGACAGCTCGAGCCTTCTGGCTCCTCTGCTTGATCGTTGGCTCATCTCCCGAAGCCCCAGTGGCGGAGAGAAAAGGTACGATCGAGGAAATGCTGAGCCCTGGGAGAGGGGCTGGGGTCTGGGGAGGCGGGTGGGGGACTGGGGAGAGGGCGCGATGAAGGGAGGGACGAGAAAGGGGGCAGAGTGCGCGAGAGAGGCGACTCCAGGTCCGGGGTCGTGTTCCAAAGGAGCAAAATGTGTCCCCAAGATTTTGAGCGTCTTGGCAGCCTTTTCGGAAAGAAGCCAGTTCAGCTACCGAAAGGGATCCCGAGCGAGCCGGGCAGGCTGCAGAAAACTTTGCATGCTAAGTAGTGGCTCGGTCCCCGCGGAGGGAAGTGTCAGAAGGGGTCGCCGCGCGCCTTTCGGGAGCCGTGCGGGCCGGGCTCGCAGGACGCGGCGGGCGCCCCGGGAGCGCGGGTCCACCCTGCACCCGGCCTGGCCCCGTCCCGGTCCCCATCCCCTCCCTGGCCCCGTCCCGCGGACGAGCAGGGGCGCGGGGGGCGAGGGGAGCCGCAATCGGACGTTGCCCCCTCTCCCCGCAGCCCCGGCGAGTGGCCTTGGGACACCTGAGTCTTTAAAACGCACACGATTTCACGCATGAAATGAAAATGTGACTGAGGGAATGCATCCATCAGGGCTTCTCTGCGGGGCGGTGTTTTTGTTTTGCTTTTAGTGGGATGTTCTGCTCGATTCACTATCTCTGGGAAAAATAGCTTCCGCACCTCACAGGGCAATTGACTTTGGGTTATTTTTCCACATGGAAATTGAATGACTTCAGTGGCATTTAACCCAAATATCAGACAATCTTTCCCATGACAACAGATGGTGATATCAATGGGGAAGCGGTGGTGAGGTCAACAGTTGACAGTCAGGAATTGGATATCCCCCAGAACTTGATTCAGCTGTGTGTGGGACAACGTTGAACACAATGAGTCAGAATCAACCTCTTTGCAAAAACATGAACTATAACCAGCTATTATTGCTGGGCGAAAGCTGATTTTTTAAGGAGATTGTCAATTTGGCAAGTGGCAAGTGGCAAGTGAAGTGTTGCAAGAGGTGCAAAGGGGCGGACCAAACCATCCACTACAAGACGAGGGAAACGCTGAAAACCAGCCGCTAAAAGAACGGAAAAAGACAAGTTCTTGCGCCCGTCTGGAGGGCACTGGGACCCAGGCAAAGGGGGAGGTGATATTGTGTAATTGGGCATGGAAAGTTGCCCAGCTTCCAAGCTGGCTGAAGTCTGCTCACCAACCTGTCTGCAGAGCTGGGGGAAATCATTAATAATTGAAAAAATTTGTTTTCATGCCCTATCATTTAGGGGCTTTTCCTTCACCGTGGGGCGGGGGTGAAATGTCAGCGATGTGTGTGCTTTTAGACTTAACCAGGGGCCTCTGCCTCCCAGCCATGCTGTAAAAATCTTTCTTAGCTGTGGTTTCCCAACTAGTAAGTGGTGTCCAAGAAGCCAGATAAAAATCCACTCACAACTGCTCGATTCTGCAGAGACCAAGATGACAGTGTAAACACGGATGGGAAAACCAAATAGTTCTGTTGTCAGGGGCGCTTAAACAATTAAGAGAACCTGTAATATGAGAGCTTTCTCCCTGGGGTTTGCTCAACAAACTGTACAGAGCAAAAAGGCGGATGTTTATATATATGTTAAAGAAACGGCAAAAAGAGTTTGTTATTTAACCAAAGTTGTCAGATATGTTTAGTCCTAGAACACACTGGTGGTTGTAGTTTTAAAAGCTATAGATTTGAAGAGGTTCCTTAGCAAAATGAAACGTTCCCACCAGGCCTCCGGGTCCTCATGTGGTGAGAAAAATCTTCTTCCTTGGCCTCACTCTTAGAGGACAAGACCCTCAGCTCCGCCTTCCTCCGGGGCCTAGGAAGCTGCGTTGCGCTCGGACCCGACGCCGAGGTTGCCCTCCCCTGGCCGGGGGCGCCCTCCTCCCCGCTCCCGCTCGCTCTCCTCCGCGCCAGCTGCCCTCCCGCAGGTGCTGGCTAAGTCTCCACGGTCCCCCGTCGCCTCGCCCCTCCCAGGGCCCTTTCTTCTCCCCACTCGCGGCCTCCCCTCCCCTGACAGCCTCCCCGCCTCTCCCGCTCTCTCCCTGCAGCCTCGCCGCCCCACAACAGGAAGCCCGACCCCGGCGGCGGCGCGAGCGCCGAAGACACGCCCGGGCCCCGGGCGCAGCCGGTCCCCGAGGCCCCGCGGCGGGCGCGCGCGGCCGAAGCCGCTCCCGGACCCTGGTCGGAGTCTCGGCGCCGGAAGCCCCCGCCGCCCGCCGAGAACCGGGCCGGCTTCCGGGAGGCCGCGCGCGCGCCCGCCGGCCCGCCGAGCCCGAGCCTGGCACAGGCTGAGAACCGCGCGTCGCCGCGCCGCGCGCCCGCGCCGGAGGACTCCCCGCGGCGCGCGCGCGCCCGCGCCCTGCGCTTCCCGGCCGCGCGGCCTCCCGCGCGCGCCGCCGAGGCCCCCGCCAGCTCCGCCCACCCCAACCGGCCGCGCGCCGCCGCGCCGCCCCCGGAGCCCGCGCCCGCGCCGCCGCCGCCGCGCCTCGGGCCGCCGCAGAGGGACGCGGAGGCCGGCGCCGAGCCCTGCGCGCGCGCCTGCAGGGCCGACCTGGACGAGCGCGAGTCCTACTGTGCGAGCGAATTCGGTGAGCCCCGCCCCGCAGCTCCGCCCGGGCCCGGCCACGCGGACCCCTGAGCCAAACCCTAGAGAAACCCACCCGCTCGACCCTGCAGGCCCCAGGCCCGTGTGGACTCTGGCGATTTGTTAAAAAGGCACTCGGGAAGGAAAGAGGAGATGGGCGTTATGCATTTCTCCAAACTCTTTGTTTTTTGCAAGCAGCCGTGAACGGAATCGTGCATGATGTGGACGTGCTCGGCACGGGGATCCGGCTGGTGACTCTGCTGGTGGATCGGGACGGGCTGTACAAGATGAACCGCCTGTACATCACTCCGGACGGGTTTTTCTTCCGAGTCCACATATTAGCCCTAGACTCCTCCAGTTGCAATAAGCCATGTCCAGAATTTAAACCTGGTATTGAAACTGACCTAAGTGACCGCTTCATATTTGTGCTTTATGCCACTATTTGTCACTTGGATGCCACAGCTCCGCCTCTGTTGGTCACCTCAGTACCTTTTTGGGGCGGGAGGGGTATTCTAAAATGAATAGAATTTAGATGACACGTATTATTTCGGCCACTCTGTGATTTAAGCTCCATCAGCCTCCCCCCGCACCTCCAGTTAAAGGTGGGAACAGCGTGGATTGGCACAAAGCAGGCACTCGATAAGTCTTTGCTCACAAATGGAGTGAATGACGAAACGCTGTTGCCAGAAGGGATGTATAAGGGGCTCTGTTTTAAACTGAATTTAGAAGTCTTTTTTGGGGCGAGGAGAAGACTCCCACATCTTTCTAGAGATGTGTTCCGGAGACCCCGCCTGATGCACACAGCTTTGTCCTGTGATGTTGGCTGTTTACAGGCTGATTCATCTGGTTATCTTCTAAAGGTCACTAGATTACTTCCACCTGTTGTCTGACGGTTAAATGGCTGAGATTCAACACGTGCAGCAAGATAATAGATACAAGCCTAGGCATTTCTTAAAGGTCTTAGGTTTTCTTATTGTTTCATAGCATTTAAAAGACACTATGACTCGCTATTTTGGTTCTTTCTTTTTCAGGCAGCAGGTATATTGTGATGGGCCACATCTACCATAAGAGACGGCAGCTCCCTCCAGCTCTGCTCCAGGTCCTGAGAGGGCGCCTCAGACCGGGAGATGGCCTGCTCAGGAGCAGCAGCAGCTACGTGAAAAGATTTAACCGCAAAAGGGATGGGCAAGTTCAAGGTGCAGTTCACACCCAATGTATTTAAAAAGAACCACCCTGGCATTTCTGGACCGTAAGAGACTTGGAATTCGGCAACAAGACAGGAAAGGTCTTCATGTCATGGGATCTTCCTTTAGAATAGGGCACACAGCTCCTTTATGAACTAGTTGCATAGTTCCAACTCTAATCTTGAAGTTGTCACTTCCTTATTTACAAAACGCTTCTTAAGTGGTATGCTTCTGAGCTCAAAAGTTATCCAACTCTTGTGCCAGTCACTCACACAGCTCAGATAACTGACCTGTCCAGTTAACAGATCACTGCTTCGTATTGTTTATTTTTAATTATTTTAATTTAAATACATTCTTCAGTAGAAATAGTTCACAAAAAACATTTCCTTAATTTTAAATATACAACTTTGAATAGTTTATATCATGTATCAAACCAAATTTTATATTCAAACCATCACATTTTAAAATCTGTACACAGCAGTAAGTGCACTACTCAAAGACATGGATGAAATGTCATTTTGGTCAAACACTACTTAGGGCCCAAGACAACGATTAAAGTTTTACACTTAAAGGGTATTAAAGGACTTAATTCAAGCAAAATATTACTCAAACAAGTGTTCCTGATGTACCACAACGTAAGATATAGTTTATTTTCATGCCTCTCTGCTCCTAAAAACATGTTTTGTGCCGAACTGGCAGCTATCCCAATGCTAAACATATTCTGGGTGTATCTGATGTCATTTTTGTATTAAGACCAAGTATCATGTTTGTGTTTGTAAAGCAGTAAATCTTGCCTTGAAATCAGATCTTGGATGCACCTGGTTTTTTTAGCCTCCCTGAGCCCCAAAGGTTTGGGAAAAAGCCTTTCTCAAACTTACTCCCCAAACCCTGGAACCAATATTCAATGACAGCTTGCAAGCATGTGAATTTTAAACGTTTTCCAGTGGGTTTGAAAAAGGTTTAATCATTAGCTGAATTTAATATTGATTTTATACTTGAGTCCACAGAGACATTAACAATTTTTTTTCAGAAGACCAAGCTGTACTTAGTGAACCTGAAACACTGTGAATAGAGACACTGATAATCCATGGCTGAGGATGACTGCCTAAAGAAAGATAAAAAGGGACTGCACTGAGAGAGAAAAGCAGCCCATTTGGTCTCAAAGGAGATGTGCTCACGGAGCTCGAGCTGTCTTTAGTCTGTCATGGCCGCGGAGAAGCGCTATATCCCTGAAGGGCGCCAGGACAGGAAATAAGTAGCAACAGCACAAGACGTAACAGCTGATTGTGGTGGGAGGCACTGTTACTTCATTTATCCCAAATGGGACAAAGAGGTGAAATAAAAGTTGAGAGGTTCTCACTATTCTGTGGTAAACTATTACTGAGGGGTTTTTAGAGAATTTTCCAAAAATAAGTCTTGCCCAAACTTATTAAAAATCGTCCTGGAATTGCTTCTTGGGAATCAACGGCATTATTACATGAACTACTGGCAGTAGGGTATGCAGCAAACGAAGCGCTTTTGGGTTAGTTTTCTTTAAGATAAAAGTTAACTCAGATGTAAGATAGCACCAGTCACAAAAATCAAAGCCGAATTTCTAAATGACAAAAGGCTAAGTGGTGATCTTGAGTAACAGGGTGGGGAAAATAACAATAGATAGATTATTGGTTGGTCAGATGTTAGAGCATAAAGAGAAGAGTTATAAATAGCTCTGGTTTAAAAGAGAAAAAAAAAAAAGGACTTATATAAGCCTGAGGGTTAGGGTTCGATTAGGCTGATTGATTTGGTAATACTCAGTTTGAGAAGTTTTGGAAACACACATAAAGTGCCAGAACTGTGTGGTGTGATACTTGGAGGTCAGACAGTGTGTACACCCTAGCAAACACAAGCAGGCCAGCTTTTTAGAAACTGCCTCGTTAAAATTAAGGCCATCATTCAAGGCCAGGTTTGCAGTGAGAGCCGAGGGAGGCTCAAAGGAGGTGGAAGAGAGGTGGGCGTGGGGTGCGCAGGACACGGCGAACAGACTGTATTCCAGTTGGGTGAAAAAGGTTAAGGAGAATCTCCTTTCAATATTCAGTCAGTACCCTGGATACAATCTTTAATTTTATGGAAAACTTTAATTAGTGAATTCACTGTAGTTCCTAATCTCTTTGTCCGATAGATTTTTCTTAGCACATGGGTTTGTGCTCCAGAGACTAAAGGATTACGTGCACATGTAATAGTCCTTCATTCAGTGAAATACTCGGTTGCTTTCAAGAATAACTCAATAGCATCCTTCCTTCAAATTAAGTTATTGGAATTCAAGGGGGAAAAAAGTACTTGTTTTCCTTTTTGGTAGGGAAAGTCTATAAAACATTTTTTTGATACTAGCTTTGTACTGTCTTTAAAAGATATCATTTGGCACTGTTTCTTTATATTTCTCTTAAAATCATTTGTAAGGTTGAGCAAACCACATAGACACAAACAGCTGAAAACTGACCTGCCACCTGCAATGTATAATAACCTCAATTTCAGGTACAGGACTTTATCATTCTAAAATACAGCTGATTTCTTCAGTTGAATTTGGTCCAAATTGGATCAAGTGGGGTGTGATCTGCTCTGAAATGTCTTTCTTGATCTCTTAGGTATCTAGAAGTACCTCCGAACATTTCAAATTATTAGAAATAATTCTCAGCTGGCTCCTCCCCCTCAAGTTCTTATACGACATTGCCTTGCCCATAGGGTACCACCATTCTCATTGTAAGGACTGGACATGTGAGACTGGGCAACAGCCCCCTCAATCATGGTGAGAGTGAGGGCTGCAGTCACCATGCGGCTCTGTCGAGCTCAGACTGTGAAGTGTGCAGATTTCAAAGATCACTGGGCTGGCTCTTTAATATCACAAACACACAAAGATGCAGAGTCTGCCTAACAGAAAGGAACAGAGATGTGGAAAGAACGTTTATTTGTGCATTCTAGGAAGGTGGATTACAAACAACAGCAAATCTCAGTGTCTCTCAATAACACTCCAGGACATTTGAAATATAAAAAGGTAACTGTTTAGCTTTAGAAAATATCTCTGAAAGTTCACCATTTTTTTTTAACCTACTGCAGGACATTAACTAAAATACAAATCCTGCAGAATTTGGATAGCACAAAGCCTTACCAATATTATGAAAATACTTTTTATGAAATGGTTTCAAGGACTGTGAACTTGGCAGGTGAAGCATAACAAACACGGAAAATGCTTTTAGCCAAGGAAATCTACTGATGCAAATTAAATATATTTACAAGCCCAAAGACTGGGTAGAAAAGTCCTAACAGTATCACAAATGTGCATTCTACTACTTGGGTTATTGAAAGCAAAATAGCTGTAATATGTATATCTTACTGAACAGCAGAAGCTTGGCAAAGAATACTCATAGAAAAGCAGCTTCTGAAACTCATTATGTGTTGTAAGAATGCAGGTTTTTCAAAAATTACTTTTAAAAGACTAAAGCTCTGTAGTTGATGAAACTATAAAATGTCTTTATGTATTTATAAGGTGATAGAAATTGCAAAAGGCTTTATACTATTAAATACGCATGAAATTAACATCTTTTTGGTCTGAGGAGTCCCATAAAATTTACCTTTTTTGTACAATTTGGCAATGCAAACAGCTACAGAAAATTTATCAACCAACCAACGATTGTTTCATTAGAAACTGCACCAAATCCAATGTCAAAAACATTACTTTATTTTTCTAGATGAAATGTCCTATTACGTACAAAAGAATTGCTGTTTAGAATTTCTCACAATCTGTTAAAAACATAGCAATCTATTGCCTACAGGTAGGAAAGTTCCTGCTGCAACAAGTTTTAAATGATTAAGCCCATATATATCTATATCTATATATGAATAAATAGTACAGAAATACTGTGACGTGATGAGATGCAGAATAATTTTATAATTCATTGAAATGTAAGATTCTTGCATCAGCACAGTGCATACAATATGTAACATTTTTTAAAAAGTAAAAGGACAAAATAACCTATATTTGACTACTTCCATGTTAATATTTTAAGCAAAAACTTTGTTTCCATGTTTTCATATTGAGCAATTAGTCTCTTTAGTTTGTAAGCATAGGTTTAAGTGACATTTTTATGTACAAAAAGGAATGGGCTTAATTAGATAAAATTAACCCAGAATAACTGTACACCTGAGCCTGTAATAAGAAAGAACTGGAAACGGTAGCAACGTCTTCCTTTTAAGAAACTAAGGTCTGGGAAAGGTTTTGCATAGCAGGGTGATGTTAAACAGAAGGAAAGGTTTTGAAAACAATAATTAGATAAATTCCAGAACCTGGTAGGACAAAGCTAATATGAATTAGTGCAAAATTTAGTAAAATTTTTGCAAAGCTGCATAAACCAACCGTGGCAGACTTATAGAAGCTATGATTACAATGCAGTAATACAATGTGTAAGGTTAGAACACTGAAAGGAAAAACATGCAAAATACACCTTCCTCCATTGCTTCCATTTTTTCCCTACTGCTTACACTACTTTTCCTTATGTGAAACAAAATCCCAAACAACTCAACCAACAAACAAAAAATACAAAAAAGATAAAGTCATCTAAGAAATGCCCTTCATAAAATACAAGTAGCTGTCTGTAACTGATAATTTGCCTAATACAATATACAGATGAAGGCAATGTGTATTTGGTCACACTACCTTTCTTCTTAGAACCATCAACTGATGCAACAGGATTAGCACCCTGAAGAGTTTTCTCTGATGTGATGACAATGGCTGGGGATTAGGAAATGAAGGGCCACTACTGTCCTGGAGAAAGCCAGGCACCTTTGGATTCTTCCGCCTTTTGGTTACCTTTGCAGCCCTCCCTTTCCCCTCAAGGCTTACAGAGAACCATTAGCGCACATTCAAAGACACCATCTGTGGGAGAAAAATGATCTCCATTTATTTTGTTTCATATACATCCATAGTTGAATTTTAATACAAAAAGAAAAAAATTAGAATCTGACAAATGTTTACAAACAAGATACCTTCAAATAGATTTTACTCATTTTAGCCTGGTGCAGAGTAAATGACAAATTGTACTGTTATATTCAAGGCAACAGAGTCTGTAGTCCAGGACCACTTAGCCCAACCTTTATGCAAGCTTCATTTTTATCTACATGAACAATAAACTCATTGTTGATTCCCAGTTGTGTGTGTGTGCACATGTGTACATAGCAGCTCCTTTCATAGAAAGAAAAGACATCTAGAGGTCGTCTTGTACTTTTACCTACAGGAATCATGATAAGATACAGAATGGATTACATGTAACCGGGGCTGGATTTTATAAGAAAAAATAATTAGCTGACAAATGAGGGCAGCAATAAAAAAGCGTCTTTTTTGCAACAATAAATAAATACAGTCAAAAGGTTTCTGTGAGACTCTAAACCAGCTTCTTCACTGAAGAGCAGACGTGGCATTTCCATGGAGTTACACTTGACCCCATAGTATCTTTTTTTTCTTGCTTTCTTTTTTCTTTTTTTTTCAATAAACAAAGTTTTCCTGCTTCTGCCACAATAGTAAAACCATTTGATCTTGACAAGATAATGGTGTCGTTGACTTTGCTTTTCCCTTGTCCGTTGGACAAAATTGGCCAAGAATATAATTGGACTGTTATGACCAATAAAAACGAAGTTTAGGTCAAGTCTTGTCAGGATAACCTGACTAAAAACATCTGGTTCCTTAATTTAAAATAGTTCAGACAACCAGATTCTTGCTGTGTTTTATGTTAGGTTAACACGCTGAACTTTAAGAAGCTGTAGACTGCAGTTTGTTGTT